AATAAATAAAATAAATAAATAAAATAAAATAAAATAAAATAAATAAATAAATAAATAAATAAACAAATAAATAAGTAAATAAATAAATAAATAAATGAATAAATAAATAAATAAGTAAATGAATAAATAAATAAATAAATAAACAAACAAATAAATAAGTAAATAAATAAATAAATAAATAAATAAATAAATAAACAAATAAATAATTAGCGATAATGTATGAGTAAATACCCTAATAAATCAGTAAGTAACATTTATTGTCATAAATAAATAAATGAAAAATGAAAGATTGTATAATTTTTTAAATTTAAAACGTCATATACTGACAGTTTAAAAAGGGCAAAAATAATGAACTTACTGCCACAATAACCATCCATACTTGATTAATTGAATGGGTGATTTTGGACGTGAAGCGTGAAAAACAATGAATCGTCCATCAGGACTTATTTTCCCACCACCCTCATAACCGATAGCCTTTGTTATCTGCAAAAAGAAATAAGAAACAAGTATGCAACAACAGGATATTCTTTCGTTACAAAATTTTCGTAATGATCTTCCATATAACTTAGGATTGCTAATAACAACAGGTATTTAAGCATAATACATTACCAGATGACATTATATTGCAGTAGTAGTTTTGATGAGGATGTAAAAATCAAATCGTTTAAAATCAAACCTATTCATCACTTGATAATGACACCAGAAATTAGATATCAATAAAAGTGAGATATTAGCAGGAAACTAAGCTCACAATTAGATGTAATCACATTATCACATGGGTCAGTTAGGATGAAAATCAATACTTGTTTAGCATTTTTTCCATCCATATCCATGATCCACAAATCAGGGTCACCATTTCTCCTTGAGGTAAAGATGATATGTTTTCCGTCAGAGGATATACTTGCTTCACCATCATAACCTAAAATTCATAACATTGACTGATTTTAACTTATTTCCTGGAATTCATCACTGCCATCCACATACCTCTTTATATGTATCTCTTCATATTTGCATATTATACAGTTTACGACAAATATTTCTGTCGTGAACTGAGTTCTTGCAAAAGAAAATAAGGCATACTGATAGCACTGATCAGTAATTACAAACAATGCATTCAAATATTAGCAATGTGTGAAAAATAAAATGCAAGGTAACCTGATGTATTTGTTAGACGTTGAATAAAATTACCATATTTGTTCACTTTGATGAGTTCGAAGTCCGGATATAAATCCAAAATATGCGATCGTTTACCGGGAAAAATATGAGCAAATAATTATTAAATATCCGTTATCAGTGAAGAAAGATGAAGAAAAAAAAAGGAGAGTATAAAGGAAATATGAGAAAACAAGGAAAATATTTTATATTTTGGAAGCTTTTAGCGTAAATATTGTGAAATCATGAGGAAAATTTTCATTCAAAGAATTTCGCCTTATGTCCAAGTGCAATAATTTCTAAGTCATGAGAGAAATCTAATAAAATGCGTATTGTAGAATAAATGAAAGAATTGGAAATTAAGTAGTTAAAAAATAAGTAAGACAATCACAAAGTACATAGCAAGCAAAGAAATGTTGGAAAGTGTTGGAAAAAATTTACAAAAATTGAAAAACTGGAATTAAAGAATTTACAAATTTCTTTTATCCATGATTGTCTTGCATCGGTACATGCTCGTCGTGGACAACTGTTTAAAGCGGAACGATTAGCAGTAAGAATATTACTAGCATATATTATGATATTATCATCAGATATATATACTGGTGAACGGGCAGTACCAATGCCTAAAGAATTCAATTATCGCTTTTTTTCTAAAAAAAAAAGATGCTCACTAAGATCAAAAATAAAGCTGCTAGCAGCAAAATGAAAGATTGGAATTTATCGAAAGTATGCCAGAATTTAATAAAAGATATTACCTGTGCTTACACGTCTGATTCTTCGTGATGCATTTGTAAGGTCTAAATCGAATACCTAAATAGAATTATGAATGAAAACCATAGTAACAAACGTCGTCAAATTGAAATTTCATTTAATGACAAATAAAATAAACCTGTTCACACGTTGCATCATAAAGATGAGTACCATATCCTTCATAAATTACTCTTTTATCATCGAAACTATAAAATAAGAATTAATTTCAAATGATTACAAACTTCCCGCAAATTACGTATTGCTAGCACTGATTCAAATAAATTTAGTTTCAGTTGAAATTTATTTTTCCACATATAATTATGATGCAGTATTTTTAAAAAAGTACTCCCAGAATTATGAATTACCATTTGTTACTGATACCTTTTTGTTTAAGTTAAAGTACCATATTGCAGCATAAGTAATGATTGGTTCTGTGAAAAAGCTATCTCATTTTTAAATGCATATATGTGAACTAAAAGACATAAATTATAGACAGCTTAATAAGATATTAAAATGGATTGAAAGATGGCTGTGATAAGTATTTGTAAATTATTTTATATGAAAAATAACAAATTTACCTGAAAGAACCAGCTATGTTAATGTCATCATTAGTAAGCCGCTTCATCTTCGTTGGATAATTTTTTTTCATCATAGTATGTTGCAAATTAGGAATAGCCAAATTTTCCTTCTAAAGAAAAGATATCGACGAAAAATATGCTAAAACATACACCAATTTATGGAATTTCTAAATAAAGCTAATGAAACTTTATAGGAAAAATATTCATGCTAATTAATTTGAATCGACTGCTTTTTCAATCTTCTTAATTGGGCATACCTTGGACAGAACTCGGGAATTTTACTTTAATATTAACTTGCTCGCAAATTATTTCAGTTATTTATTTTTGGATAATATTTGCATTCGTCTAAGTATAAGAAATGTTTGCGTGAATTTAGTCCAATAACTTGAAAATTGCACTTTTATGTCATTTCCAATTTTCATCGTATAAGTATCATGCCAATCAGCGATGAAAAGATTTAATTCACTTCGACTACGTCCATTTCGACTACTACCCCAAACAAAGCGTTGACCAGTTCGATCAAACATTGGAAAAGCATCAAATCCACCTTCATTGAAAGTTACCTGTTATGAAATTCGTCTTTTTATAATCTTATTTGATTATACACCAACACTTTAAGCATAATTCATTAGTTCTTTGAGAAACAAAAAATTTTAAGGCAAGTTTTCAATGCATGACCAACTGATTTATGTTATCAGTGAGTTTTCCTTGGTAATGATAGTTGTATTATCAGTAGGAAATGTTTTGTCTTGCACTCTCGGGTACTTCTTTTCCCAATAATATAACAAACTACTAGTCACGTGAAAATTCTTACTCGTTCAACATTTCCACCCGCTTCATCAATCATATACAAATTAAATGCCCCAAAATGGCCACCAGTTTCATTGAAATTTGAACTAAAGATAATGTGACGATTATCCGGCATATAAAATGGAGCCCAATTGGAACCACCAAGAGATGTAACCTTTCTTAAGCCGCTACCATCAATATTCATCGTGTAAAGTTCCATTTCAAGTGGTGACACTAAATTATATCTGAAAATGTTAGTAGAATTAATATAAGGTTAATAAATGGAACGAAATGAAAGTGGATAAAATGAAGTAAGTGATTAGCAATTTCGAACACAAAATGGAGAAATTTCAATAGAAAGTATTTGATCCTATTTAGCATGTTATTACGATGCAATCATCAGAATACACACAATATACTAATTTAATGATCAGTAAAAATAGATAGTAGGAAGCTCAATATACGAAAGTAAATCCTTGTATGTTTGAATTTCTTCGCTAGTATTCGGTCTTGATGCACGAAAAACAATTTTAGATCCATCCGGACTGAAAAATGGACCTCCATCATAACCAAGTTCATCCGTTAGCTGAAATAAAATGTATGCTACAATTTATAGCATACTATCGTAAACTAAATATCATAGTAATTAAGAAGAAGTTCAAGAGCATATATAATGAGAAAATAATATCTAATTAATTCATCTAATTACTTCAATAATTAATTCATTAATTTAGCTGTTCGACAAGTTGGAACTATATTCACACAAAGCATTGATAAAAAGTAATCTTAAACCTGTTTTGGTTCCGTTCCATCCGAATTCATAATCCAAATTTCCGGGTCACCACTTCTTAATGACGTAAATACAATTTTTCGACCATCCGGTGAAACAGCTCCTTCTGCATCATATCCTACTGTATCGGTTAAGCGACTTATGACTGTACCAAACTCATTCACCTATAATTTGCTGATAGTTCGAAAGTCAAATTTCAAAAAAAAATCCTAATAGTTGATAAAAATCTTATATATTTTCAAAATACAAATAGATTTTTATAAAAATAATTACAGCAAAAATTTTATTTCCCTTATACTTGAAAATTTTCAGGAACAACCTTAAAAATATCGTACTCTGGAAATAGATCCCATGTATAACTTGTATTACCTATAAAAAGAAACCTCATTATGCTTTATTATCTTAGCAAATTGGAATTAAGCATATCATAATAAGGTAAAAGCTCTTATTATATGCATATTGATTAAAAGTAAAGGAAACGAAAGTAAAGAAAGTAAAGGAAAAGCATCAAATCATATTCAGTATAACAGCAAATCACAAAGTTCTTAACTCAAATAGTTAATCATGTTTACATTTGACTATTTAATTTTAATTTCTTGATATTCATTCCTTTTTTGCAAAATCAATTCTTAATTTTCATTTTAAATTCTTTAATTCCAACTTATTACTTAGTTACTAAGGAAACAAAGAGGGATAATATTAACAATGATTTGATGCAGATATAAACGAAAGTGAAATGAACAAATTAAATATCAGAATTAGATCAAAAAAGGAATCAAACATAAACTTGGAATTTCAAAAATCACTCTTCTCATCAATGTTAAAGGCAATGATAATCGTAAAAGATGTTTATAAAATTTTATACTGTAAAATTATGAAAAAATATATAAATTATATAAATATCATTACTTACACAGATGCCTTAAATGCGGATCTATTTTAGCACGCTGCGTTTGACATGTTTTTGTCGGACAACTTTCAATATTAATTGATGAGGTGAAATTTGCATATTGAAAAGTTCCCGCATAGATCATATGATGATTGTCTGGATAAAAATAGGAACAAGTACAAGCTCCGATGCCTGAAATGAAGTTTTTCGATTGAAATTACCGAATGAATCCAAATAAGGTGAAACAATGGAACTGATACTGGCATGTAATTGCAAATAAGTGGAAGAAAATGAAACAATTCGAAAAAAGAGAAAATAAAAAAGACAAAATTCGAATCGAAAAATTGAAATATTTATTAAAAAAAAAGAAGGAAGAAAATATTGGAAAGCATCAAAGATATATTGTTAGGACACTATGAATGTAGAAATAATTATGTAATTTATAAGATTATATGAGTGATTGCACAAGTTAAACCATGAAAAAAATTTAAAAAGCTTAATTTTAAATTTAAAAATTAGTTAATTTAAAATACCAGGTCTTACCTGTGCTAATTCTTTGCGGGATTTGTTTGTCCGGTGGTATAGTCAAATCAAGCTTATAAATCTGCAACTCCACAAAAAATTTTCCAAGATTCTATTGCAAAAAGTTGATAAGAGGATGAAAATTGATTTTTAGGATATAAATCTATTCTTTCTTTATTTAATGAATTTCCAGTGATGCAGGACATTCACACACAAGATTCTGTCATGATATGAAAGTTAAAAACGAATGAAAAATTACCGAAGGATATTCTAGGTAACAACAGGACATAAGATGGCTTAAATTTGCTGATACTAAGTATTCTATAAGAGTTGAAATCAGAAACAAGAATAGTTTTAAGGTACAAATTTCCACAATTAAGAAAACATTTCAATCACTCAGACTGTCTAAAATGATGTTGGAACTAAAACTTAATTTCGAATTAAAGTAAGGGAAAAAAAATACCTGATCGCAAGATGTGCCATATTCTGGTATGCCAGCTGCTTGAAATGTCAACCAATTACCATCAAAACTTGAAATATCTATGTAACAATTGAGTTAAATTTAATCCCGAGAATATAATTTCGTAATAAATTAATTCATTTACACCTTTTAATTAATCGTTTATGTAGAATTGATGATAATCAAAAAGCATGTATAACGATAGAACAGTAGAATATCCCCTCTTTTTCCATGGGAGATGAGAAAAAAAAAATTGTTCTGAACATTTAATGGATTAAGTAAGGAAGGTTAACCTAAAATATCCTTCAGCATTTTGTCCGCCAAATGTGAGCTGACGAATATTGCTGAGATGATGTTCAGCCGGAAAATGAAGTTCCGCAAGGGTAACAGCTCCGAACAGCAGAAAAAAAAGCATAATGTTTGTTAAATACATGGATTGGAATTCTGGAAAATATTATGACTTAGTTGCGCTTTTAAAATTTAAGGTCTAACCAAACTTTTTATTTAGTACCTGAAGGTGCCAAAACCTTTTTCTTTGAAGAATTAAAAAACTGGAAAATCCAACGTTCCTTTCTATAAGACGTTTGGAAGATGGAACCTTAAGCCAAATATTCAAAATAAGTGAAAGCTATTCTAAATTAAGAAAATTAATTTTAGACTACTCATATTTCTATCACTGCAGTTATCAAAAAGAAATTCGAAGCACTTCGGAGAATTCAAACATTTAATTTTGGAATATTTCATAGCGCCATCACTCAAATAAATAAAGTAGAAATAGCTAGATTTATTTTGTATTGAAGAAATGTTATAAACAAATAAATAAATAGGACCAAGGACGGAAATAAACAAATACTAATTTAGCCAATTATTTTCAAACGTCGATCTCCATATTAACAAATACTACAGTACTCTTTGCTATATGAGGAAAATTAAAAAACGAAATTTGGATAACTCCCGTAAAGTGCTGTAAAAAGTTTAATAATATCTGCTTAAGTTATCAATACGTGGAATGTTTATTTTTAATTGAATACTACAAAAAAAGGAAAAAAAATGTTTGATCAATTCAGCTATACATCTAGAATCGATAAAAAGAAGCAGATTTTTTTCAATTTCTGAACAGTCTAAGATGTAAAACAAATATGCGAAATGAAAGCAAACACTTTATTACAATACTGCACAGCGTTGGAAACTGATAAACACTGGACAGATAAACGAAAGTAAACAATATTCTGCTTAATCATTCCTTCAGTGATACCAATTTTAAGTCTTGCAAGTCTTAAATTCCAATAACAGATATTTTAGAAGTTCGAAAAATATCTAAAACAACAGAAAGCTGATCTACAAATTGGCTGGGTTATATTTATACAGTTAAACTCAACTGCTTTGTATTTGGGATTGTGAACAATTTTCCGAGATTCAACCTTTGTCCCTTGCTTTCGAAGAAAACGCTGTGCGCAACAAACAGACGGTTTGATAGCCCTATTTCGAGAAAGGAAAGGAAAAGTACAAGAAGATGGGACATAAATTTGAACAGAAAATTTATTATTATAAGGTAATTGACGGCCAATCTTTATCAAAGTGTAGTTATTCTAGAAAGTTCTAGTCAAGACCAATACAAATACAAAGCCCTAGAAATAATGTCGACATGGCATAAGATACTTATCAGAACGGCTTCTTTATATTTGATAAATTGATATCAGCGAGCTTAAAATCCTTGATATGTTGTGATATATTCATATTTTTCACAGCACTAACAGCACGAGCTGGAGCTGCTACAATACCCGCCTGTAAAAATATGGATGAAATTCTTGATGATTTCGTTATAAGCAATGAATATTTCCAATTAGTGACTGCGACTGGGCTTTCACGATATGATTGCTACCACACTTCTTTGAAAACTAAAAACCTCCCCTTATCTATATTTCTTCCGATGTTTTGAACGTAAAACATGCAAATGCTGACTCCCAAATTCTGGACAAAAAAATCTAAAAATAAAGAATGTGAACTTCTTCTTTTTCCATCTTCTCTTGCTCTTGTATTCGCAAAAGGATTTCATTCATATTTGTTTCCAGCACCATTCCTCCCATAACTAATTCATCGAGTATGTGATATACCTATGAACAAGTTCAAGTATGATCAAACAAAACAATAAATAGAACAACCGAAGTAAATAGAATTTGATAATTTAATAAATGTACCTTGTCAGATTAACGAGAACTTTGACGAAAACGTACTTTATTAATATGAAAGATCAGATCCAGCTCACAAACATTCTCGAAACATCGATCCAGTGTCTCAACAAACACCTGCAAGATATATTTTTCTTGTTGACACTTCACAGATCACTAAGATAACGGATGAAGGATAAGGTATTGTACACCTGTGGAAGATTCCTTCCTTCATACTATTAATTAGTTTATGCATCTTTCGCTTCTCAGTTTGGGCCTAGAAAAAGACAAGCAATAGTCGAAAATACGTCATGAAATTCACCTAATATCCTTACTTCTTTTTAAACACCAAGGAAGGAATTCTTGCTAACTGCTTAGAATGTACCATGGATTTAACATCCGTATTTGTTTTGCAGTCAGTTCCATCAATTACAGCGAGATTTGGGAAACCGTGCTATTTATCAAGGTAGAAGGTCTAACACCCATCCCATAAAATTACCTGTATCAGATCAAGGATACCAAGTTCACTTTCTGATGAATCAACACAAAACACGAAATATAGCGTTGCATAATGTCGATATATCAATTTATAATCAGATCCACCAATTAATGAGCCACCTTCCAGGAAATTGCAAACATTATCATCCCGTTTTGAAACCAATTGGAATGTTTCACGTACAATGTGTTGTTGTTCTTCTTCAGGCTACAAATTTTAATTTAATATTTCTAAATTTTGCGCGAATTATATTAATTATATTATTTTATACTAACAAGGTATTATTCAATTGTAATTTCCAAAATCTGATGAAAAGTTACAAAACTTTTCGCGATGGAAATGCCGTAATTTTAATTATTGGTTTGCGGATAACAAACATATTCGGGGAGTTTATGGAAGGTAACACTTACTGTTCTTAAAGCTATAAAGTAATGCAGAAACATATTAATTAATTTTATTAAATTTCATATTATTGATAAATTCAACAAAGTCTTATCAAATTTTCAGGATAAATTCTATTATTTTTTTAATCCTTTTCTTATTTAACTTACTGGTAAAAACACACACACACACACATACACATAGCAAACACACACTACACATACGTACACACACGCGCATATATACGCATACAATTTCAACTGCTGCATTCCATTTCGTATCACCAGAGCAACGCTTATGTATTTCCGATGAAACTATCTTACCTTAGTTAATATAAGGTTATTGGATTCAAACAAAATCTACCTCTTCCATCAATCTAATTAACATAATGAGGGAATGAGAATGAGAGAACTTAATTTTAACAAATATTACTAATGTATGATTTGTATCATTCATTCATAAAATCGACATGCTTCATGCTTAAAATTTTTTTTTTTTGACTTACATAATGAACATAAAATTTCAGCAAACGTGGCTTCCCATGATTGTTGAATACCAAAATTGCTTTAATCATCCCTTCGAATAACTTTCCTTCTTTTGTTTTTTTCTTACTGATTTCGCATCCCATTCATTTACTATCCATTTTTTCTCTAAAAAAACGTAAAAATATTTATTTCGCCAAATTTCAAACCCAATTTTCCATAAATTCAATTCCAACTGCTAATTTCAACAACTTAATTGTTAATATTAACTATAAGACTAAGCATAAAGCGGACCAACAAGAAGCAAAAATGATCGTCCAATAAACACTTGAAAAATTAAGAATAATGCACTTATACCAATGAGAAGCGAAAATGCTTCCCCATGAAATATCTACTTGAGCTATTCTACTAAAGGTTGGTATCCGGTTATGTGATCAATATTTTGGGTATGCATTTGTGGCAGTGGGTATCTTGTCTGCATTTGCTTGTGAGGTATGGATTGAAGTGTGTGTGTTGCGTTCCATTTCTTGACGTGAAAGATCATAGTTTTGAGAAGTACAGCCGCGTATGTGACGCACGTAAACGGTTATTTATGTACCCCTTACTTTATCGATTTCTAACTTTAACGTTTCCAAAAATCGTTATCAAAATGTTGTTTATTACTTCTAGTTGATTAATTATGTTATAATGGAAAAAAGAAAAATTCAGTTTGATAATACGTGGTTCATTTTTACTTTTTTCTCGCGGTCATGGATAAAAGATGTGCGAAATGTCTTGTTTTTTTTTTTTTGTTTCAGCATTTGCATTTCAGATAAGTGTATCTTGTGATGGCGGCGCATAAAACATTCATTATTAAGCGTAAATTGGCTAAGAAGGCAAAACAAAATAGGCAAGTATACTATTTTCAACTGATCAAATTTCCACCAAGCTTTTTTGTCAAGAAATCAATTCACTTTATATTTAATGGATTTTCTAAATTCCGCTGTTGATAGCATCTCATCTCAGTCGTGCATAATTATTCCTCTTTTACCATTCATCATAGTTGCTTCAAAACTGATCCACTCTTAGTTTGGCTTGCTTTCTAGTGAGTTTGATTTATCGGCTCTATCGACATCCTTGAACAACTCTAACATATTTCAGACCATTACCCCAATGGGCTCGTATGAAGACGGGAAGCAAGATCCGCTACAATGCGAAAAGAAGACATTGGCGCCGAACTAAGCTGAAGTTGTGAGAAGTGCGTAGCCCTTTTGCTTTACCGCTGGAAAAGTCCACGTTGAAATTGTTTTCCTTTTGCTAACAAATAAATTGAAATAAAGCTTATTTGTTCTTTGCCCGGCTACATAAATCAACCAGTACCTGTTGCTAGAGGCATTCTTTGGATTATTTAAGCAAGCAGTCAATGTGGACAAACATAAGGAGCCACATAAGGAAATCATAAACTAATACGGATCCATTAGTTATGCCATCTGATGCTAAATCAGGTAAATCCCAGCCAGCATCTAACCAGTCATGTTAATTGGTAAATTTGTGGGTCATGTTAAGTAACGGATATGAGGTAACGATATAATGTGTAAATTGGGAATGTTCGTTTTCCATCCCTCACGTATAGAGGAATGAGGACGTGATATAACGTCGATATGTTGGATTCTGCACTAGGCTTTCGGAATATTTGAGCAGAATTTGATGACACATCGTATCTCCTGCTCTTGGAGCCATGCGTTGCACATGCGGAGTTCGAACTGTATTTTGCTGTCGTAGTGGATATTCTCCCTAATTTCAAAATATTTTAACAGCCACGTGTCGCCGCACTCTTCGACCTCACTATCTATTACATCAGATGTGAGTCACACGAGTCGGCACGATTTTCCCGTGACGTGTTGTGGTTTCGCCAATAACACAATTTGCGTAGTAATGAATTTCCCATACTACCATGCACGAGGAAATTCGAAAAAATTGGCTTCTTAAACCAAACGCTATGAAGCGAACATGACTCACATGCGCGAGTACATATGCCATAGTATCTGTACTCTCCAATATGTATGCTTTCACATTTTCTTTCGATTTCTGAGTACAAGAAAAGCTGACTGCCTCTGTGTATAAAAGCTTCCTTGGAAGTATTTGTTGCATTGAAAACGTTTAATGTAAATTATGTATCATGAAATTAACAAACATAAAAAATTGGAAAATTAACCAAAATATGAAGTTCTATAAGAATATAATCAACGAAAGCCGAAATCCAGTTTCACTTCATCATTAATTTTCTATCAAAATCATTTTCTGGATTTCGATAATTTCCGGTTATCAAATTCAACAATTATCGATTCATATGAAGGAGATTTAGCAGGGGGACGAAAACAGACTATCGATGAAATCGGAGATATGTCCAAATAATCTTATGAGTGAATTTTAGGCGGAAAAATTGCTTGAAAAATTAATGTAAGTTAATCAATAGATTAAATTGCAGCTGATCTGAAATGAATCAAAGAACTGAAATTGAAATTGAGAGGACTGAAAAAAAAAAACTGAAAGGAATCAAAAATGAATATTCTTTTCTGTCGATCAGATTTCCTGAAGCTCCAAATACAATCACATGTGACAAACCAAAAATTATATTCACGAAAATTTCGCTTGCGAAAAGTCCATCTCAGGATGCTGTTCCATAAATCTGGAATTAAATTCATTCTTCGAAAATCCAACTTCTGGGTATTCAGAATTTTCGAGAACCTAGAACATATGCACTGAATGTCGCGAATTCCGATTCGCGAGACTCCAACCATACCCCAAACAAACAAATAAATAAATTTCTTGCTATAAATAAATGTTAATAGTGTAAATCATTTAACCAATTTACATTCTTTAAAATTATCTCCCATATGTTTCTTTTGTTATCTTTGTCTAACGGAAATTTACATCTTTATTTTAATGACAAAGAATGTCCAATTTGCATGCTAACCTTCCTTCTGTTCTTGTTACAATGCTTATTATGTAATTGGACCTTTACAGTTCCCTTTGTATCTAAATGAATACCCCCTTTTTTAACGTTTATTTTCAACCACTCCCACTGTCTAATGCATATAAACCCTATTGTAAATCGGCTAATTCATTATGTTCAATAAAGACTTCACAATCCGGTGTGGACTCAGTACAGCTCACTTCAATTCCACTCAGCGCAACTCAGCCTCTTGCAACCCAAATCAACTCAACGCAACTCAGCCTGACCCAACTCAACTCAA